TCAGCCCAGGGCTCTCCCCACTGCTCCCCCTGGGCCTGTCGGGCCCATCCCTCTCTCCATCTCTGCCCACCCTCAGGTCACAGTACCACTTCTCTTTTATCCCTCTGCCCAACCAATGCATTCACTCATTCATTTATTCAACATACACTTATCGCCTCGGGCCCTGTGCTTCATGCTGTGAATATAGGGATGGGCAAGATGGACAGCTATTCCACCCCAATTGCACCTCTTCCCCTGACAGACTCATGGCCACCCTCCGCCCCCCGCAAAAAAAAAAAAAAAAAAAACAGTGCTCATTTTAAGCACCTTGGTGGGCTCTGGGATGCTGTGGGGATGGGGCAGGGGCTCAGTATCCAGCTAAGGGACAGGAGGGAGCACAGAGCAGCCTGGGGGTGTGGGTAGGGGCCACTGGGGGGGGGGGCTGGGTGCAGGAGAACACTGGCAGCTTCCCAGCCTCAGCTTAATTCCCTGGGCAAACACGGGCTCTGGGAGGGCTGCCCAAAATCAGCCGGTGGCTGCAGCTTCAAAGGGCCCTGGGGGCCTGGGTAGGGCGGGCTGTTGGGGGTGGGGTGGGGTGCTGCTCTCAGTTCCTGGAACTCTCGCTGTCGCAGGGGCTCAGAGGAGCCGCTTCCTTCCAGAGGAAACATCAGCCCCCATCACCACCCTGCTGCCGCAGCTGTCCTGCCCTGGACCGGGCGGCAGGCCGCGTGATGAGGCCCACAGGGCAGGTGGGGGCTGGACCTGGGCCTGGGGGACCTGGTGGCCCCCTGGTTGTGACATGTCCCCACCTCTCCACGCCCTGTCTGCTCGGGCTGGTCAGCTTCCACGAGTCCTACCCGTCCGGTGACCCGTGTCCCCTCGCCCACCCATGACGCACGAAGAGCAAGTTCAGGCCTCAGCATGCCTGTTGTGGCTTTGACCTGTCCCACCCGGGAGCCCGAGTGGGAAGCAAAGAGGTGCTCTGGGGGGAAGGGCAGAGGGGCTTGACGGAGGATGCGCCCCACAGTCACGGCTCTGATGTGTGCACAGCCCAGTGTGGGTGGCCTCAGGAAGCCCCCTCCCCTGCCCCAGCGGGGCCTCCACCCTTTGTCTAAACCTGGGCCACCTGTGTTTTCCTCCCCATCACACAGGAATGTGTCACAGGACTGGAGCCACTCTCCACCTCATTGTCAAATCAAGCCTCCTCCCCTCCCCACCCCACCCCACACCCGACAGGCCCAGGCCTGCCCTAGGGACCGGCTCAGTGCCCCTGCCGGGAGGTCAAATACACCTGTTTATCTCTGGGCCTCAGCCCAATCAGCCCAGGATGGACCTGACCTGATTCCTGACCACCTCCGCCCTCTCCCTCCCGTCACAAACCTTCCTTCCGCCTCCAGCTTGGCTCTGCAGGGGGCCTGGGCAGTCTGATCCAGGGAAGCACACAGTGCAGGCCCAGGGGCATCCCAGGCCTTCCAGACCTCCCAGACACCCCTGGAGCCCAGCTGCGCCTGTCCTGTGGGTCTGGGGGTAGGGACCCCCAGACCTGAGCTCCTGGCTTTCCTCCCTGATGCTGCCCCCTATCCCGGCATTTCTGGTGGTGGGGGGCGGTGAGGATGATAGGCGGATGGGGAAAAAGGCAGGATGTCGGGGGACGGGGTGACCCAGTGCTCTGGGAAGTGGTATCTCCCAGCACCCAAGAATGAAGTGGTTCAGAGGCTTGCCAAGGAAAGGTGGGATTTGTGGGTTAGTCATGAACTCCAAGCCACACAGCTCAAAAGAGACTGGACAACTCAGTGCAACATGTGACCCTGGGGTGGGATGCTGGGACAAACAGGAACGTCATGGGGACAATCAGCAAAGCAAGAATGGAGGCTCCAGCTGAGATGGGGTTTTAGGCCAATGGCAACATCCTGGTTTGGATGGCTGTACTGGGGTTGCGTGGGGTCCCTGGGTGATGCAAATGGTTCCCTTGGCTGTCAACTGAAAGGTTCTAAGTTCAAGTTTGCCCAGGGGTCCCTCAGAAGAAAGGCCTGGTGATCTACAGATGAAAAATCCACCCCGGAAAACCCGCGGACACAGTTCTGCTCTGATACACGTGGGGCAGCCAGGAGTCAGTCAATGGCACCTGGTCTTTGGACTGTGGGTATGTGGGGCTGGGGTGAACTCCTAGAGGCAATGGGTATCCTGTGTGCGAGGCACTCTCAGGGGTGGGAACATTTTTCAGTTGGGATCGCATTGAGTCTATAAATAAATGTGAGGGAAACGAACATTGTGGGAAACTAAAAGCCACAGAGCTGAGGGAGGAATGAAGAGGAATTGTTGTCAGTTTCCACTCATAGCAACCCCACCTGACAGAGAAGTGCCCCAAAGTGTTTCTTAGGCTGTAATCTTTATGGAAGCAAAGCCCAAAGCAAGCCCACTGTGGTGGAGTCGATTCTGACTCATAGCGCCCCTAGAGGACAGAGTGGAACTGCACCACAGGGTTTCCAAAGCTGTCAATCTTCAGGGAAGCAAAGCCCAAACCACACCCACTGCTATGGAGTCCATTCTGACTCACAGCGCCCCTAGAGGACAGAGTGGAACTGCCCACAGGGTCTCCAAGGCGGTCATCTTTACAGGAGCATCTTTCTCTGACAAAGGCACTGGTGGGTTTTGAACCTCCAACCTATCAGTTAGCAGCTGAGTGCTTAACCATTGCCCCACCAGGGCTCCTTCTGAATAGGAACTCAGGCTTTCCCCACGCACATGCTGCCTGCAGAAAGGCCGGTGGGAAGCCCCGTACACGCACTCAAAGCCTCCCTGGGACACGGTTCCCAGCTTTGGCCTCACTTCTCCACCACCTGGGGACACTTCAGAAACTACCAGGCCTGGGGCCAATCCCCAGGGACTCTGGTAGAATGTTCTGGGCCCACGGCCTGGGCACCGGGGCTTTCTGAAGCTTCACTCAAATGTCTCAGGGTGAGAACTCTGCCCTGCCCGGCCTCTCTAGACCTGGCCTCGTCTCCTGGGGTGGTTCTACCAGCGCAAGTTCCACCCTCCATCCAGGGCTGGAGGGTGGTCCCGGGGACCTTGGAGAAGGCTGAAGCCCCCTTGCTGCCCGCTAAGGCTGCCACTGCAGGGATAGTGGAAGAGGAGGTCTGGGGGGGGGGTAGGGCGAGGAAGGGGGGAGGAGGGGCCTGGGGAGTGCGGGGACTCCACTCAGCGTTGGGGTGGAGGGCCTCAGCCGAGGGCCAGGTTGGCTTCTGGGTCCCGCAAGGCCCTTTCACCAGCCCTGCAGTGCGCCGGCTGAAATATTTGGAATAATTAGCAAGTGAAAGCCGCAAGTTAGCCGAGTGAATGCCAGCTTGGCCTAGAGCCAGCCTGAGTGCTGGGAGAGAGAGGGGTGGTAGGGAAGGGGTGGGGGAAAGCTGGACAGGACTGTGTGGGAGAGTGTGTCCTTGCGTGTGCGTGTGTGCGCTGGGGGAGGTGTCGTGCTCCAGCTGGGGGGCATGTGTGGGGCCGGGGCCAGGGGAGTGGATTCTGGACCAGGCTGTGGGGATGGGTGGCAAGGTGCCCGTGGAGTGCCCCTTCCAACTCACTCTGACCTTGGTCTCCCCACCAGTACTCGGGCAGGCCGGTCCCTCACAGAGGGGGCCCACTGGAGTGAGTGGGGAACGGCCCTGGTGGTCTTCCTCCTCTCGGAGCCTGCCTTGGCCTGGAAGCGCAGGCGCACACCCCAGGGTGGGTAGGGCAGCCTCTGACCTCACACCCCGCCCTCCAGGAAAGGACCAAGGGAGGCCGGTGCTGGAGGCAGGCCCAGGCCGGGGCGCAGGGCTAGCGCGGGCGAGCCCAGGCAGGCCCTGGAGGTGGGGGATGAGCCCGGGGCACACACTTGGGTCTTTGTGCGCCCCCCGGGGCCAGAGCAGGGGCAGTGAGCCTCCCTGCTTTGTCACTTGCTCCCCTGGGCTGTGGGCGCAGGTCTCCCCATTGCGCAGACGGAGCCACCGAGGCCCGGGCCTTGGGGGACTCTGAGGGCCACCTCTGCCCCACGTTCTCCCCGGGGAAACTGAGGTTGTGGGGAGTTCGTCAGGTGCCCCTCTGCACGTCCCCTGTGGCCTCCTTTCCCCCACGCCCCCCTCAGACAGTGGAAGACACGGCCTCTTCCCTCCCAAACTGTGCCCTCACTTTTGCCCAAAAAAAGCCCAGCGCTCATTATAGGTTTTAAACATTTTTATTTTTCAATTTTTTTTTAACCGTAAATAACTTTCCATGAGAAAGGTTAAATTACCCCACGGGGTGGGAGGGGGATAGGGGACACAGCTGAGGGCTCAGTGTGGGGAGCACCGCCCCCCCGCCCCCCAAGGGCAGGCAGGGGGGGCCACCTCCCACCCTTCCTGGTCCCAGCTTGCCTCTTGGTTAAGTCTTCGCTATGGCTAAATGCCCTACGTTAGTGTGTCTGCTCCCCCCAAGCTTGGATGCCCCTGCCCCCCAACTTCCTGGTGCCACTGCTGCTCTCAGACTCCAGTGGGGGTCAAAGTTTGGAATTTGCACCCTCAGCTTGACCCCTAAGGATGGGGCCGGGCAGAGACCCCAGAGGCCTTAGGGAGAATCTCCTTGCCCCCCAATTCTCAGCCTGTTCAGTCTTTTCGGCCTGCCCCGCCCCCATGTCTGTCCTCTGCCCACCTCCCCCCTGCACTGCGCCCCTGCCCCAGGGAGGCTTTGCCGGCAGAGGCCTCTAGGGGCTAATTTGCTGTCACTAATTAGCATCTGTTGTACCTGGGAAGTTCTCTGGCTAGAGAGCAGGGGAGAGAGAGAGGAGGGAGGGAGCAGCTGCCCAAGGCTGGGTGCTGTGGGGAGGACCCTCTTCTGTCCTTCCCGGCTGGGCCCAGGCCTCCGGGCCTCCAGGCCTCGCTCGCACAGTGCAGGGTCCTGTGGCCGGGCCCTGGGGTGGAGACAGCTCTGTGCAACACTGTGTGTATGTGGGGGACTGGGAGGCACTGGTCCTGGACCCCCAGTTCTCAGCCTCCTGGGCTGGAATGCGGCTGGGGCAGTGCAGCTTCTTGGCGTCGGCCTTGGGAGGCCCGGCGCAGCCCCTGCCTGGGCGGTGGGGTGTCCTTGGGCCTGCGTTGGGGGGGCAGTTCTGGGCCCTGACGTGGGAACTGTCTGGAGGTGGGGCGGGGCCTGGCCTCTTACAAGAAGGCGCCCACGCTGGTCCAGTCCTGCAGGTCGGCGGCCAGGGTGGCGTCCCCAGCTTCAAAGAGGGGCTCCGGGGGCAGACAGCCACTGCCGCCCTCGTCCCAGGGGTGCTGCAGGAAGGAGGTGGCCAGGAAGGTCTCATCAAAGTCCACGCTGTCGGCAGCCTGCTCCGCCAGGGGCCCCCAGCTAGCAGGGCAGTCGATGTGGCGGCCGTGGATGGTGAGGTCCACGTCGCTGTGCGAGGCAGGGCTCAGCGGCGGGCTCAGGTCCAGGCCCTCCAAGGAGCCCAGCTCCTCGCCCAGGGGGCCTGCGTCGAAGATGGCGTCCCAGTCAAAGTTGCCTTTGAGGGGTTCGAGCTGGCCCTGCTCCTCCTGGGTCAGCAGCAGGGAGCTGGGCGGCCGCGGGGCCTTGGCCACCCGCTTGGGCAGCGGCTGCTTGCGCTTGTGGCCGGGCCTGCCCTCGCCCCCAGCCCAGCCCGCCTCCCCGGTGGCCTCCTCAAACTCCCGCAGCAGTTGCTGGGCCTCGGTGTTGACGGTCAGCGGCCCAGCCCAGGGCGCAGTGCTGGGCTCCTGCGAAGGCTGCCGGGCAAAGGCAGGGTGGATGTGGACTGGGGGGAGCCGGCGCTTCTTGAAGGCCCCGCTCAGCAGCCGCTCGGCGTACTGGGGGTCGATCCGCCAGAAGCCTCCCTTGCCCGGCTCGTCCTTCTCCCGGGGCACTTTGATGAAGCATTTGTTTAGGGACAGGTTGTGGCGGATGGAATTCTGGACACAGGACAAAAGCCAGAGAGAGAGAGAGAGAGAGAGAGAGAGAGAGAGAGAGAGACTGTCAGCCCAGTGGGAAGGGTTGGTGGCACAACGGCACCTAGTTCTCTTGCACCCCCCCTCCCAGTCCTCCCTGACAGAGAAGGGCAGGATGGACACGCTGGTCTGGCGGGGCGACTGGGACATCAGCCACAGGGCATGGGGTACTGAGAGTGCGGTCGGGGGCTTTTGTTCCTGTTGCCCGGATATCTGCCTGCTCAGTCATCCGAGCCCTGAGCCGCAGGGTGGCTCCAAGTGCCACCCCCGTCGCCTGCCCTCCCTTACCCCACTGCTTGAGGACTCTGGCCAAAGCCCTTGGCTCCCCCAGGGCCTGGACCCCATCTCCCGACTCCAGGGGCCTGGTTGGCCCTCTGTGAAGGAAGAGGTGGGGTGAGGGAGATGGCTAGGTGGCCAAGGGTGTATGCGTGTGTGTCTGTGTGTGCATGTGCGTGTGTACAGAGATGCAGCATGGCGGAGCTGGCGACTTTCCTTGTTGAGTCAGCTGCTGGTCTGGGCCCTCACCCCCACGACCCCCCTGCAGATGACTACTCAGCCAGGTGCACAGAGCTCCCTCCTGGAGCCCAGGCCTGTGCCTGGGGTAGGGTAGGATGGGGGTCTCTGCTTCCTCTCCCAGGGCCTGGTGGTCCAAACCCAAGCAAATGAAGAACGTCTTTGGGACTGGGATGCTGTGGCCTGACCCCAGCGGGTGCCCCAGGGAAGAGACCCTGCTCAGCTCGGGCATCCTTGGGGCCTGTCCCCAACTCCCTCCTGATCCTGCCAGTGGAGACTCGCAGGGCAATGTCTGTCTGGTCTCAAACCCACCGTCCTGCCTTGTTTGTAGGTGCATACCATGTTGGTGGGGGTGGGGGGGCCGGAGCTGGGCCAGCAGGACATATGGGTGGACAGTGTCCTCCTGGTGGGGCTGGGATGTTTACATGACGGCCAGGGCCCCTTGGCTGCTCTGTGCCAGTTCTGGAGACTTGGAACAAGAAGCCAGAGCGCAGGCAAGAGCCCCTGTGGAGAGCACCTGGCTCAGGTAATTGCCCCCCAGGGAGGTTGGTTGAGAAGAGAGGGAGGACTGGAGGCAGGAAGCTGGGGGACGCTGTGGGGTGGGAGGCTGGGACCCCAGCTTTAGGAAGCTTCCATACCCGTCCTCGGACACAGCTGGTCTTCACATCCTGCAGCCCCGGACCTCCCGCCCCCCCTCCCCCCCAGCAGAGGCAATGCAAGAGTCTGGTGGGAAGGGCCTGCCCCAGCTTTCACTCAGAGTCCAGCCCTGGCAAACTGTCCTTGGCCAGCTGTGCCTAGGAATTCCAGGACTTGGGACAAGAATGTGTCTCCCATTCATTGCCTCCCCAAGGAGGCAAAGTCCCTTCCTCTAGCCCTGGTCCTAGGCTGGGCCTGCTTTTCCCCTTGAATCTCAATATCTGCACCCCGGAAGCCCCCTGGGCCCTGAATTCACTCCCCTCTTTCTCTGCAACTCAAGAGAGGAGCAGCCCAAGAACAAGGGTCTTTGGAGGCCCTTCATCTAGGCCTTCCTTCAGCCCTACTTCGCTTCCAATGAATACGGTCAGGCATCCTGCGGTGGGAGGGGAGTCTGAGTGGAGCGCGGGGAGGAGTGGGGAGGGAGCGGCCGCCTCCCGCACCTCCCCTACCTGCCAGGTGGGGTCTGCGTGGCGGAAGTAGCAGAAGTTGTCCGTGATCCACTTGTAGATGGCCGAGAGGGTGATCTTGGTGGCCTTGCTGGCCTGCATGGCCATGCAGATGAGCGTGGCGTAGGAGTAGGGCGGCTTCACGTGCGGGTTGGTGGCGTAGTCCACGTCGTCGGGGGGAGGGGCCTGCAGCCCCGGGGGCGCGCTCCGTGACGTGCACGACGACGTGGGCTTACCGGGCGTGTGCGGCGGGCCCAAGCAGGCGGGGTCGGCCGCCAGGGGGGACCCTGGCGCGGCCGAGCCTGGCACCTGGTGGTAGCCGTGGGGGTCGGCGCCCCCCGGGGGCAGGGTGGAGGCCTTGGCGCTGAGGATGGAGAACTCCTGCAGCCACTGCAGGCTTGTCAGGCTGTCATCCAGGGCGTCGGGCTCCTCCGGGCCACCCTCGGGCGCGGCCTCCTCCGCCGGCCCCACTCCCGGGAGGCGCAGCCAGCTCTCCGCCATGTCTGCGCGGGCTCTCCGAGGGGGCAGTCACCATCCACAGCTGAGCCGAGGGGCGCGCCGCGCTCGCCGGCCGCTGACTCTGAGGCTCCGGTTACGCGGCCGCCCGGATGCGCGCGTCCATCCCGCGGCCCGGGGCACCTCCGCCTCTGAACGTGTGTGTGGTCGCCTGCGGGAACCACGGGGGACTGAGCTCCCTCACCCCCGGGGGAGGATGTGTTTAAGAGGGGCTCTGCTCAAACCGCCCCCGAGCTGCGGACTAGGCCCTGTTAGTGCCGGGGTCAGGGCCACAGAAGCAGTGCCCTCGGGTCTGGCCCCATGGCGTTCACCTGTCTCTCCATTTTCTTCTCGAGGTTCTAGAGGGGACTCTACTAGCCGAATGTGAGAAGAGGGTGAGGGCACCCCTTTCTCCAGAAGAGCAGGGAACAGGTACCCTCTTCAACAAGTGAAAAGGGGGCGAGGGAAAGCAGTGCGGCGGGGCAGGGGGCGGGGGCGGTCGTCTGATCCCTGAACCTGCTGTTAGAATGAGGGGTCCCAGGAAAGGAGGGGAACAGGATAGAGAATTACGGGAGAGCGAGCAGGGAGTTACCCCGATTCCTCAAGTGTCAGTCCCTGGGTCCCCCCCACTTCCGTCGGGGACGGATGGGAGAGCGGGCTCGGTACCGACGCCCTCCCTGCCTTTGGCGCGCAGCCCTCCCGGTCCCTTACCTGGCTCAGAGCGCAGCCCGGGCCAGAGGAAGGTTCTGGAAGAAGTTCCTCCCACCCCACTACGGCTCTCCGCCCCCAGCTCCAGGGCCCACCAGTGCCCCTTGTCGCCCCCCCGCCCGACGGCTCTCTCTGAGCGCCTGCGGCTTCGGGACCGGCATTAAGTAGCCGCTCCAAAAGGCTTCTCCCGCTGCCATGGCGACGCTCCGCCCCCATAAACAGCTTCCGCCGCTGCCATTGGCCAGCGCATCTCCTAGGAGACCGTGGCACCTCGCGGCGGTGGCTCTCCGCGAGCTCCCTCCTCCGGCTGCGCTCTCCCGCCTGCCCAGCCCCCCGCACCCGGCCGCCTCGCGCCTTCCCGCCCGCGGGCCCCGCGCTCCCGCCCGAGCCCGCGAGCCGCCGCCGCCGCCCTCCAGCCCCGGGAGCCGGGACGCGGGAACCACGCAGGGCTCAGGCTCGGGAACCGTGGCCTTGAGGTTTTCTTTCCTCGACTCTGTGCCGCGAGTGGCACCTTCTCCTGTTTCCGCCACCTTCCCTCTCCCCCGACCCCGAGTGTCGTCTCTAGTGCCCGGCAACTCCACCTGCCGCTCGTGCCCGCAGACACGCCACCTCGATCGCAGACACTCGGAGGCGGGCAGGGCAGCCAGCGTTTCCCGGTAAGCGGCGCCCTCCCGACTCCAATCTAGGGACCTGGCGTTCCAGAGGCTTCTGCGGAAGTGCCGTCTCCTCATCCCCGACAGCAGAGGCGCCGGGGTGAGAGTCGGAGAAGCCCAGGCCAGGTGCACTGTCCCGGCGGGGTCATCCGCCCCATCGACCCCACCCACCTTTACAGACAGGGACTAAGGGTAGAGCACACCTGGGACTGCGGCCCGCCCTCCTACCCTGCTCTGGCCTCCCTCCTGTCACCAACTTCCCTGCTCTTTAATTATTGAGGGGCTGCGTGCTGGGAGTTCTCCGGTTTAAGGCGGCAGCAGAGCGGGTGGGGGTGGGGCATCTAACCCAGGCCTCCGCTAGGCACCTGGGTGGGGGCCCGCGGGCAGCGGGGAGGTGCTGTCTGTCCACAAAGCCCGAGGAACCCAAGGACTGGCTGCACTACTGGGGGCATGTGGTCCCCTGCCCCCAGCCCGATCCCACTCCTCCCAAGGATTAAAGAGCACCAGCCAAGGCCAGACGGCTTTCACAAATGAGCCACCTTCCCAGTTAGCAGCTGTCCTTCCCTTGTAAACAGTTTTATTCATTTTTGAGACTCATGCAGCAATCCATAAATATTGCATTCTTGATATCCCACTGCAACGCGCCCTCGAGTGTCCTCCGGGGAGTAAGGGGGTGCACAGTGGCACACACACGCTGGCACAGCCCAGGTGTGCAGGTGCTAACACAGTCAGCAACCAGCTTGCCAGGGGCACACAGACAGGATCCCAACTCTCCCCCTGAAGTGGCTTCCTCTTCTTCCTGCATGTGTGTGCCCAGGAGATGGCCCCAAGCATGGGTGCCAACTTAGTGGGTAGAACTGGGCAGAAGGGAAGTACTGGGCCCTGGCTCCCTAAAGGCCCCAGCAAGTGCCCAGGCCTCTATAGTGCAGCTGGCCTCCAATGCGAAGCCAGGCCCAGCCATTCTCGCTGGTGATCTGCTTTCAACATAAGGTATCCCTACAGGTGGAGGGCTGGGGCCGTGGGGTGGAGCCTGACGAGGGCCTGCCCTCTGCCTGGGGTACTCTACTTGCTACAGCAAAATGCAAACAAGGAAAAGGTGCAGAGACACTGAGAAAAACGCACAGGGCCACTTTCAACCCAGATGTGTGTATCTGGCACCAAGGGCCGAGGAAAGGGAGCCCAAGATAGGCGTCCTTCGGGGATCTATGTGACGCTTGTCCTTGGAGAGGGCCAAATACGTCTGAGGAAAGCCCCAGCTCCTTGAGGGTGGGGTGGCAGTAACTGCTTCCTCTTCAGGTTCCTGGCCCTGAGGCCGCTGTTTACCCGACTCCCCTTCCTCTCAGCTCCTTTCCCGGGCCCTCCCAAGTCACAGCACACTGTGAGTGCTCCTGCAGGGAGGGGAGGGGGGGTCTGTGTGCCTAGCCCCAGGCTCATGGGAGCTCCCCACTGCCTGGTGCTTCTGGGGTCCGACTTCAGGGAAATCAGAACTGGGGTTATTGCTGTAATCATCCTGCTCAATATGGAAGGGGCTGTGAAACCGGGGAGCAGAGCAAGAAGCCTCAGTGGGGCCTGCCGTGCGGACTGCGCCGAGGGGTTCCAGAGCGGGCGGACCTGCAGCTCGGGGTGGGAGCTTCCGTACAGGCTGGCTTGTCACAGCTGCATCAGGAGAACACTGTTCCCCGCGGCCAGGGCGTCCCCTGGGTGCTGGGCTCCTTTGGAGGAGCCTTGGAAAGCTGTTGTACAGTGACAGTGCCCAATACTCCGAGGGTCTGTGTGTGTGTGTGGGGGGGCATCTCATCTCGCCTCCGAAGAAACTCTATGGAACTCTGCTTCCCGCAATCTCATGCTCCACTCGATAACCATCTTCTCCCCAAAGTCTACAGACAAAACAGCTCCCCAAGAGCTAGCGGGCTCCCCTGAGAACCCCGGGGTTGGGAAAGGGGTAGCCCTGCTTCTTCCAGCCTTGCTGTTCAAGGCTGTGGCTGTGGTTGTGGTGCAGTTCCACTGGGGTGTGGTGGGGACACACAATTTGAACACCACAATCTCTACATCAGTCTCTCACATAGCGCACCCATGGAGGGCTCCCCTCGAGCATCAGGGACTCAACCTCTCCCTCTGCCTGTCAGGCTCAGCAGAGCTGGAAGGCAGGAGCCGAGTACATGGAGGGAGGGAGGTCTCTGAGGTGAAAGCCTTGGCCTCAGCCATTCAGCTCCCAGCAGGCCCCAGGCTGCTGCCTGCACTTAGCACAGGTTCTCCACCCCTTCCTTTGGGCCTCCTGGGCACTGATTTGAGGATCATAAGGTCTACACTCCTTAAAGCCTATTCAACTGTTGACAAAGGAGGGTGGAGACAGGGGCAACAGGGATAAGAACCCCACCTTAGGGGGTTGTGGTCGAGACAAAAAGTGCTAACATAAGACAGTGCCTAGCAGAGCCTGGCACATAGACTTGGACAGAAATTGTGTTTCTTGAAATGGATTCTTAGGGTGGACTCCCAGGCATTGGTGAACGACCTGACCCTGGATGCTTGGGGTTTTCTTGCCCTTCAGACTCGAGGCACCAAGGCCAAGGGAGGTGAGCTCCGCTACTAGGAGGGACTGTCCTCCCAGCCAACCTTCTGGTGGCCGCCACAGCTCCTGGGCTTGAGGAAGGAGCTCCCACTGTTCTTTGCGGGTAATTCCACATTTGGGGCAATATGGCTGCTCCCTTCCCACTCAAGTCCTCTCCAACCCCATCCAAACGAAACTGGGCTATGATGTTCCAGAAGATGTCAGGTGAGTGTAAGGAAGCCACCAGAACTCTGAGTCTTCTGGTCTTAACTCCTAAGGGGAGAAAAGATGTAAAAGAAACAACCAGCTTGGGGAGCTCAGCTCCACCCAAAGATCAGAGGCAGTAGATATGTCGTGGAGAGTCTGCAGAGGGTCTCACTGGCCACAGTTTGAGTGACGTCAGCCCACAAGGAGAGAGAGCTTCCAGTCACTGAGTGCAAGGACCACGGTGACAGGAGACAAGGCTGGGACAAAGAGGAGGCTGGCCTCACCATCCAGCTTTCACATGAGGGTGGCACATGTCTTGATGAGGATGCCCAGGAGGCCAGTGGCCCAGCACGGACAGGAAGGAATGCGCAGACAGCAGGGGAGCCCTGGGACAGGGGCTGGGGTTCTTCAGACAGCTAACGGACCCCACACACAGGCTCTGTCCTCGGGGTCCTCCTGGCTGCTGGATGATAAGCGCCGGCGCTGGGGCTTCCTCCAACCAGCAGTGTTGTCATCTGCTTGCCAGGTGCCTGGATGAGAGAAAAGGCAGGTCACAGGGGCCAGAGCTCTGGCTGGGTCCAGACAGCATCTCCAGCAGGGCAGCCCAGGAGCTTGGCCGGGACCTGGCAGGCTGCGTGTTACCTGAGTGCTTATGCATGTGCCAGCCACTGCCCAGAAAAAGAATTGGAAGGAGGTATCTACCAGTCGGGGTGGGCACGCTGCTCCTGTCCCACTGGGCCAGGCAGTCACTGTCACTGTGGCCACTGCCAGAGGGGGACACGCAAGAGGTTCTGTTTTGTGGCCTTACCCCGCGATCCACTTTCGTGTCTTGTTTGGTTTTAAAATTGCCTATACATTGTGGTGATGAGGGAAAAGAAACCAGGCCCAGCTGAGATCTGCCCCCCAGGCAGGAAGAGGTGGCCAGTGAGAGCATGTGAATTTGGGACCAGGTGTTAGGGTTTGCAGTGGGGGCTGAGATGGACCCAGGGGACCGGCTGTGCCCAGAGGGCGCCAGGGATAGAACAGCTGCTGGCCCGGCCCTGCCTGCCTCTACCTCTGCGTCCGAGCAGCAGGCTACTAGCCGGGCCCACAGGTCCAGCCCATGAAGCTCATCCTCCCTCAGGTCTGCAGCTGCTCCTGTGTGGGCAGCATCCAGTGTGTCCGTCTGTCCTTCACACGCTACAGACAATCGAACCCGCCTCTGGTTTGCTTACTTCCTAATCATGGCTGAACTCTGTAGTCTGACCAGCCTGGGCTTGAACCCACAATTTCCTATGTGGCCTTGGCCAAGTCCCTTTGAGTCTTGGTGTTCTCATCCATCAAACAGGAGGTAAGTGCCTACCTCAGAGGACTGCTGTGAGGACTATGTGGGATAACGGGGGGGGGGGGGCGCGTGATCAGCATGTGATGGGAAGCAGCCCCACCCCCACCGTCTCCCCTGGATTTCCTCTTCATGTCCCCCAGCCCACAGACTGGCCCTATGATGCATGTCCTACAGGGCAGCCTGAGAGGCCCATTCCCTAGGAAAGGCCTAGGGCTTCACTCCTTGGAGTGGTTTGGAAGGCTGACCCTCCTTGGCCACAGAGGACCTCCTGAGCCTCATTCCCAGGCACCCTCCCCTCACCACAGACACCCGAGCTGGCTCTCCTGAGTGCCCCCCAGCACCCTGGGCTCCCACCCACTTCTCACACTGCACAGAGACCATTCGACCCTAAGCTCCTTATGGGCAGGACATGTCTTATTCACAGCTATGTCCTCAGACGCCAGCACAGCACCTGGTCCAGCACAGGGTGCGCTCCATCAACGGGCTGGCCAATCGCAGAAGGTGGTCCCAGGGCTCACGACTCCCCGAGTCAGCCTCAGAAGTCAGGCCAGCCTAAGACATGAAACCCTTTTGAGGGCAGAAACCCTAGGGACTGCTTGCTTCCTGTAAATGTCCCGGCGTGGTAATCCATCCCTGGGCTGGATAGGCCCCCAGGGAAGAGAAAGGAGAGGAGCAGGACTTCCTGGGTGACTTTCACACCCACACTGGAGTCTGGGACACGGGCCTGAAGTGCCTTTCCTAAGGGTGTCACGCTCAGTGTGGCGGGACAAATTCAAGGCAGTGTTGCCTTTTAAAGTTTAGCAACCCCCAAACAAGCCAGTAGTTTGTTCACTTATCAGTTGGTTAGTTCTCATACCTAGTCCTCAATGTTTATGGGGCAGGACTCCGGAACTGCGGCTGTTTAGTAGGAAAGACCAAAAGCAAATGGTAAACAAGAGAGAAGACACACAGGCATGCACAAAACAGAAACACCACCACCGCCGCCGCCGCCACCAGCATGCCTGCAACGCGGGGCCTGACATGTTGCCCTGAGAAGCCGGATGGCTGAATTCGTACGAGGCCTTGCTACAGACTCCCCTGTTAGTTACGGAGCCCTCAGTGAGGGCCCCAAAAAGCTCCTTCCGAAACAGGCCCAAGACCTAGATCTGCAGTCTGCTTTGCCTGGCTTCCTGACCGCTCTAGGGAGGGGAGACTGCCGTGAAGGTGAGGCACCCCTTCTCCACCTCTAAACTACCGGGGTGCAGCAAGTCTGCTGCACCTTCTCCCCACACCCCGCTGGCCAGCCTGGGGCAGAAAGGAAGCCAGGGAGGCTGGGGAGCCGGGCTGCTGCCCTTCGGTCAGGCCCTGCAGCCGGAGAGCACAGCCTGGGGACGTGAAAGCCTTTGAGGGAGAAAGATAAAGGTACTTTCCTTCCGCTTCCCGTTTTGGGGCAAGAGAACCAGGTGAGCGAAGAGACCTCTAGAGGTAGATTTTGGGAGTGCATTTAGGAAAAGTGCACATGCCCTGCCTGACACAATCGGGGCCAATGACCTCCCACCAAGGCACTGAGCCAACGTGAAGGCTATGACCATTGAACTGTTCTTGTACAGCTTCTCCCCGGGTGAAAGAGGAACATCATTCTCAATTCTCCTCAGTGCTCATGAAGTGTAAACTCTCGCAGTAGCATCTTAGTCCCAGCTTGAGGCTGGTGGGAGGAGCGGCTGGGTGTCCGGGCTCCAGAGGCAGGTTTAGATCCTACTGGATCCATTCACTCCAGCACAATGCGCGCAGTTAAAACCCACCTGCATTCCCACTGACAAACCCGAGTTCCCCGGGTTAGATCCAAGGCTCAGAGCCCCTTCACACAGAGCCGTCATCTCTTCCCACTAAGAACCTGCTGCCTAGGTCATAGCCCATCAAATTCTCTGGAACCACGTGTACTTAGAACGGTCTTGCAGTCCTAATCTTCTGACCACCAACACCTGCCCACTTAGATTTTCACCCTTTCAGAAACTTCTGGAAGCAATCTCAGAACATACCCATCCCTTCAGTGTGAAAACTCGACCCTCGGTCTTGGGGCTTAAGAGAAGCCAGAAGTTTCCTAGGGGTGGAGGGGCTGGGATGACACAGGTGCCCTGTCAGCACCTCACAGGAGTGACGAGTGGTGAGAGAGGGAGCCTGTGCAGTCTGGCCAGCAGCGGGCCTCCCGGCAGAGCACGCACTAGCACGAGGGGGCGGTGCGGGCGCCGGGGGAGTCACGAGGGGGCACAGGGGGAGTGGGGATGCTCCGCGGGGCTCCGCTTCTCATCATCCTCTGTGAACAGAGTGCAGCCGCTTGAAGATGGACACAAACTCAAGCGGAGACCATGGGCAGGAGAAGCTGTCCAGATGAGGAACCAGCAGGCTACCTCACAGGTGTCCCAGTTGTAAGATGGATGCTTGACTTACAGCTGGGCCTGAAGAGGCCTGTTTGTTCCACAGGGCCCCAGCGAGGTGGAAACTCCTGTCACTGACCCAGCCATCCTTCTGAGCCCCCAGCACTTTGCTTCCAGTGGGATGCTAACAGCGGAAGCAAAGAAGCCTTTCTGAGAGCGCAGACAGCCCATCCCCTCCTGGAAGAGCCCCTGAGGCTCCGGCACCAATACAGTGAGCACTTTCAGCGCTTAGCCCTGGCCTGACCCAGTCTGTGAACCCAGCTCGGTCTCTCACCACCCGGAAGACCTTCCAGGTCCTGCTCCCCTCCCCCGGTCCCATAAGTGGAATAAATGTCAACAAGCAGGCTGGCTACAAGGAATAAGCTCCAGCAGTACTGCTGGCTAAAACAACTGGCAGCTCCCCTGCCCAAAAAAAGGTGAGCGTCGGGGAGCCCTCCAGGGAGGCAGGAGCCTGGATTTCCCTCCTGAAGGCTTGAGAGGAGGGCTGGTGGGGAGCTGTCACCAATAGCACAGAGCTGGGCCAGAAGAGGCCAAGAGCCCCTTCAGCCAGTTACCAACCATGTTTGCCAACTGGAAACACTCTCTCCCAACCCTTGTCGCAGACACATCCCCGTTTATTTTTGCTGGACAGGAGTTAATTTATCCTCACAAATATTTTCTCTCGGAAAATCTTAAGTACAGTGACTGCAGGCCGCTGCCATTGGGAATGGAAGCCTCATCTGTACTGCAGCCCTAAGCCAGAGACTCTCCACTCTGCAGTTCAGCAAGCCTGGTGTTAGGGGCTGAGCAGAGCCGGGAAGGACAGTGTTGGCACAGAGTGAACATGAACTTCCATACGAAGTCTAGAGAACACAGATGAACTTGAAAATAAACAAACCAGACAGACAGATTCACGTTTGGCAGAAAGACGTGGAAACAAATGGACAGACAGAAGCAGGGAAAGGAGTGGGAAGGCAGGTGTCCCTTGGATTGCCTGGTTGGGAGGCTGGCCGTGGGGGCCCATGGTCCCTCGTCCCTGTGCCCTGGAGCGGGAGAGGCAGGTGGACAGACACCGCCTCTTTGGGTGCCGTAAGATGGTCAGACCTGGGCCTTATCTACAGGACAAACTAATAGACTGAAGAGCCCTTGGGAAGGGTGGAGCCCACCCCTGGCGAGAATCACAGCTCGCCCTGCTACAAGCGTGCACCTGCCACAGGGCTGATGGAGAGTGGCAATCCACAGGAGGAACCGTCATTGCAAGGCCTCCAGCCACTTCGCCGAGCGAGTAAAGCACTGGACCCGTGAGGTGGCTGTTCTGAAGCTGAGACAAGACTTCATTCCAGGGGACATTTAAGAGGGTCCCACAGCACCACGTGGAGCACAATCGCGAGTGGAAGCAGGAGGGAAATTCTGACCTGGTCCACGGGGTGAGGCTCATTCTAGAGGCGTGGTGCTGGGAGCCGTGAGTGAGCGAGCACACAGAGGAGGAGGGCTGGGCGTGGTGGGCTCGATTCCTTTCTGAGGAATGAGCCTGGATTCGGAGGTTAGTATGGTGAGAAGGAATCAGGGTACATTCCTTCGAATCATACCCTGCTCTAATGTGAAGTCAGGGTTCCTGGGAGCAGAGTCACCCTTGAGCTCTGACCTCTCCCCTTTGGGATCCAGGTCTAGTACACGGTGAAACGGCCAACTCAAAACCCACGGGCTCACAGGCACACTCGCCAGCCTCCAGGTGAGCTCCAGACTCCTCTCTGATCCCGACTCAAACACGGTCCTCCCGGGGCTACAGGCTCAGGCCACGGGCTCAGGCCACGGGCTCAGGCCACGGGCTCAGGCGGTCTCTCCAGGACCCTCGTAGACAGGTGTGTTTGTCTGCCTCGAACGTCTTGTTGACGAGAGCAAGCCCAGGCCACCTGCCACGGTGTCTGCATGACCCTGATGGGGGAGCCTGCTGGGGCCAAGTGGGGAGCAGAGGGAGTGTTGCTCCTCTCTTCCCCTCCTGATCTCACTCAGAGCAGGGGTGCTCTGCAAAAGCTCACGGCCTCTCCTGAGGCCTTTTCACACTCTCTGGGCAACTTGTTCCCAGCGTCTTAGCACACCCCATGCCTTCTTCCCAGGAAGAGCAGGGCCGGAGATGGGGTGTACCAGGGTGAGAGCAGGGGTCAGAGAAGAGGGACTGTCTCCCACCAAGTCCATGTTCAGCAGACTGCCACTCACCGGGTAAGCAGACCTCAGAGCACAGCTTATTGTCCAGTGCTTTCACGCTTGCGATGTCAAAGTCATTGTTATTGTCACACTCCATACCTAGAAGTGCGCTTGTCCTCTGGCCTGTAATGGAGTTAATGCAGTTAGAGAGGGGCTGGCTGTATTTCTCTCTGCTTTCCTGTCCTTAAAATAAAATCTTAAGGATGGAGACACAAAAATCAAATCATATGTTAAAAAAAAGACAGGAAGCAAGTGGTTAAAGAGTGGACAGTAGAGGTGGCAGCTGAGTGGGCGTGTCTGTGCTCTGGGAGGACCCTTTCCATCCATTGTTCTGCAGGGAGTAAGGTCACTAAGGAGGGACCCAGAGGGACAAGGACCAGGCTGGGGAAGCTGGCCCTGCCCAGGCCTGTGCCTGTCTGGGCAGCGAGTGTTTATGACCACCACTTGTCACTCTCTGCAGAATGTGTCAGTGTGTAAGGTTCAGGTAAAGGTCTCAGGTGCCCTAGCTGTGCTTATCAGATCGGAATCACCACGTTTACAGAATTGAGATCTAGTCTCGTATGAGACTGACTCTGTGACTCTGAGTCTGTGTTAACTGACTGACATTTAGGAGGGGAAGTTTTAGAAGTCATCTCTCCAAGCCCTCCACCCCTTTCTTCTCGGTGAAAGGCAGAGAAGAAAGCGTAAATCTGCCACGTCGGGCAGGAGCAACCAGGTAACCCCTGCATATTTTAGGACCAGCTGTTTTATGGGAGGACGCAACACAGAGGTGACTCTGTAGTCACCGAGCTGATGACCCTCCGAGACCCTGCTCGAGCTGGCGGGCACAGCCTTAGCGTCAGCCTTGCCCTTGGCTGGCCGGTGGGGCGGGGCGTCAGGTCCCATGCATCCGCAGAACCCCCCAAGCAGCGGCCAGAGCTAAAGCGGAAGCGACCAGACTGACATCTGCAGACGGGATGGTGTCCAGGCCGGGCCCCCAGTGCTTTGAAGGTGTCCTTCCTGGGGAGGCACCTCAGAGCAGCGGGGGTTGGGGAGAGGCAGGACTGGTTCCAGGAACACCTGGGATCTCCTTTCTGGGGCAAGTCTCCTAGCTCCTCTTCCTAGTTCCTTACTCTGCAGGTTGGTCCTTCTCTTCTAGCTTTTACTGGAAACAAAATGCTTCCCACTAAAGTTAGAATTAAGGCCTGAGTATGGTAAAGGCATCAGGACACCTGCCTGAGCTGAGCTCTAAAGAACGTGGCTCTGCTTCTGTAACCTCCCCTCTGATGTGTCTGCTGGCTCCTAAATCCCTTGACAGTAACGTCAACCGTTTCTCAACTGAAGCAAAGCCAAACTGGTGGCCAAAGAGTCTTTTCTCCACGTGGAAGCAGCGGGTTCTTTGCTTCCGCGCACCATCGGGGCTACAGCACGGGGGCTACAGCACGGCACTGACGGCTCAGCCCAGAGGTTGCAGCAGGACGGAGATAGGGGGTGAGCCCAAGAAGCTGCAGAGCCTCCTAACCGGGAACACAGAGCTCTCAGGACCTGCTGCAGCACCCTCACCCTGACACCCTGGGCTCTGTATCCCAGAAAGAGCTGGAAAGGTCCCCAAGACCATCTGATACCCTGCTTTGATATGTCATCCAGAAGACAACCCCCAAGAACCACAGCTTGAGCAGTGCTACCGAGGCACCCCCACATCCCCTTCTTTACCCTCAGGAGCAACCAGGAAGGGAACGTAACACGGAGCAAAGGAGCAGGTCTTTTACCGTCTTCCTGCGTCGGGGACCTATCCTCTTCGTCTAGAACGTCATTTCCCTAGGACAGAAGAAAGACACGGTGAGTCACGAACGTGCTCATATGAGTACACAGATCGGCTGGAGACAGAGCCAGCCATCTTCCCCAGTGTCTGACCAGGTCTGCGTCAGGAGCAGGCACTTCCCATGGTTTAACAGGCCTATGAGGCTGGACCCTGGCCAGCCGGATGCAGGTGGTGCTTGCTCAGTGAGGCGTGAGTGGCCTTTAGGGGCCAGGTCTGAGTCCCAGTACAGGTGAAGACTTGGATGGTCTTCTAGGAATACCCTGGTTATTGCTTCGCTGATCATAAAACTTCCAGAAATCCCTTAGGATCCCAAACCCTATCCAAATACGCCCTTGAGACCATCTGGCTCCAGAGACAGTTCTAGTGCTCCTGGGAGCTGGGTGTTCCAGCAGCACTTCCTACACCTCCCTTGGGGATTTCCCGAACTGCCATCCTGTTACTGCCCCAGAGGGGCTCAGACAGAAACTATGTCCTTCGTGCCATCACGCCCCTGGTGCCAGAGCTGCCCTGTGTCAGTAGTAAGTGAGTGAAGGACACATTCTCGGCTCTACGCATGGCACAGCAGCCCTGGTAGTGCCTGCTTGGCTGCCAACCTGAAAGGGTGGTGGTTCGAGCCTGCCCAGCAGCTCTGTGGGAGAGAGCTGGTCAGCTCCTGTAAAGATCAGAGCCCACAATACCCTCTGGGACAGGTCTCCTCTGTCACGTGGGGTGTCCAAGGCAGAATCAACTGGACGGCACCCAGCAACAACAGGGTCCGGCATGGGAGTCACCTCTGGAATGCCCTTCACGCTTATCGTGCTGCACATCACCACTCAGGGCGCCTTCTGCTGTCCTTCAGCATTCCCGACAGCCCCTGGACCACAGTGCGGACTGTTCTCTCCTCCGCCGAGTCCCCTGTGTCTAACCTAAGCACGCCAGGAAAGCTTCAAGTCACAGTTCCCCATCCTCAGTTTACCCCCAACCAACGCTTCGAGCACAGCTGTCTCCACTGGGGCTACCTCTGCATCCTGCTCCTCAGCTGGGAGGCCAACAAAGTGGACGTCTGGAGACTCCAGGGGCATCGCCTGCAAAGCAAAAGGCACAGTGACCCTCACCGGCTCAGACTGAGCTCTTGGACAGCACAGAGCTCACCCAAACCCAGTGTGGCTTCAGTCACTGAGCTGGTCCCAAAGGGCAAAGATGATACTCCCATAGAAGCCAAACCCCCGTCAGCTTGCTCCTCTCCACACTCCTGAGTGCTCTGCCGGCTACGCAGAGACCCTGGCAGACCTTGACCGGGCCATGAGTGTGAAGCCCGGGGAACAAGACCACTCCTGTGTCCCTCCTCTCTCACCTCTCCGTTCTCTGAGGGGGCCCTCCTGGCGGCCCGAGGGGAAGGGGGAGCCTCTCCCTCTTCTTCCGGGCTTGGGGCCATGTAGGAGCCGGACATGGAGGAGACGGTGTCGGTGCTGATTTGGGAGTGCTGGCTCTGGGAGGACGCCATGGACATGACCGACTGGGCCAGGCTGCTGCTGGCAGGGTCTTTGGAGACAGGAGTCGAGGAGAACCGGGCGCATCAGTACCAGGCAGGAGACTGGCGGCCACACAGTGTCTGTAAGCTTAATGGGGAGTAGAGCTCTCTCCTGCACTCAGGCAGCCAGGAGTGGCTCACCTCGCCCTACCCACAGCAGGTTTGAGATTTAAGGCTTCTGAGATCCTGCTGCTTTGCAGTTAAAAGTCAGAACTCAACCTCAGGCACCAGTGGGTCACCATGTTACGGGAAAGCCTTATAGTAGGACAGGGGTTAGGATGAGTTAGTGCCTCTCTCCAGCTCACAGCAGTGGTCTTCTCCCCTCAAGACAGCCAGCCTCCCTCCCCTCCTTCCTGGGGGTCTGTCAGTCATGCAGCACCCATGCCCATTCCCTCTCACCCATGCCCATTCCCAGAGGGACTATCAGGGCCACTGTGGGCAAGGCTACAGGAGAGTATAGGCCACCACTCCCGGCTCCCTCAGGTACCTTCTGGGGAGGAAATGGTGGAGGAGAGAGGGGTCCCTGTGCACGACGACTGGTCGACAGCTCCTGATGAGGACAGGGTCAGATTCTCACTTTCTGGAGTCGCACCACACTCCTACGGGGTAGGGAACATAAAGGAAACTGAGGCACGCAAGGCCCACGTGTGGCGGGAGGGTGTGAGGGAAGGGGTCTGCCGGGGTGCTAGGGGCTCAGGGATGAGGGACATGCAGAGCCCTGCAGGCTGCTGCTCTTCCTGTCATCCTTCGTCAGCCGCGGCCTGAATGACGTCTCCCAGGGGATGAGCCGACTTCAGTCAGCACATCCTGCCCTAGGCACGGCATCTGCCAGAGCTGCACAAAGCCTGCGGCTCGAGTGACACAGGTCACCCAGCAGCTGGGACATGGGGACACCCAGGTTTCTCCAGGGTTACCAACCACTTTCTTTATGAAGGCAAAAGAACCGACACCAGCAGAGGCCCATGTGCCGGGCTCGCCCCTCATATGTCTGGTACATTCCAGCCCAGTCCACCTGAAACACACTGCCTGGCCTCCCCGGCCATGCCTTCCATTTCTGATCCTGACCGTCAGCCGTCAGTCACCTGGGTACAAAGCTGCATCCCAGACTCAGGCAGCTGCAAGGTGGGGCTGATTCAATCTCTAAGCCCTAACTTCTTTCCAGGCGTTCTTTTTCATCCTAGATCTGGCATCGGCTCTTGTTTGGTGAACTGTTTCCTGCCCGGGGTCTCTCTCCAGTCTAATCCCCTCCCCTGTGTCAGGTGAGCCTTGTGAAGCCAGGCTGTCCCTTTATGTCTGGGCTCCTGGAAGCCCTGGCTTCCTGATCCTGACCACGCCTGGAATGTTCCTCTCGCCCTTCTCCTCATGTCTACACGTTCCCCAGCTTCAGCTCAAATGCTCCTCCTCTAGGAGACCTCCAGACTTCCTCCTCAACAGACCCTCTCCCATCTCTGTCATACACTTCACTGTTCTTGCTTTGGGTGCACCTGGCATATTCTGTTGTTGAAATTCGTCCATTCCTTCATTCAACAAATACTTAAACACCAGCTGCCGCGGAGTGGAGTCAGTTCTGAAGCACAGCGATTCCGTGCATGTCAGAGGAGCTGTTTTCAAGGGCTGATTTTTTTGTGGAAATAAATCACCAGGCCTCTCCTCTGGGTGGACTCAAACCACCAACCTGTTGGGTGACAGCTGAGTGCGTTCAGTGTTTGCGCGACCCAGGGACTCGGGTAACAGCATTTGTATTTGCCAAGGAGCAATTACATGCCAGGGTGAGGCTGGTATTCAGGGACAAGTCTTCTCCCTGCTGGACATGAGCTCCTAACAGGAACCACTCGATCAGCTCCGTAAGCTACACCATGCCTGCCAGTCAGCAAGCAGGTGTATGATGAGCCTCTGGGAAGGACGGTCTGAGGGACGTGCGGTCCAAGGGCCTTCATTCCCACTCCCGCCCCCCGGGCCTCCCCGCTCAGGCAGCCCCACGGCCGCCCTCTAACCTCCCTGTTCTCTGTGCCTGGCCTGCTCTGAGCCCGACCCTACCTTTCCTCCGTACCTAGACACGATCTGGCACATACGTTTTTTACTCGTTGGCTTTTGTGCACCCACCCCAAATCTATCAAGAGTACAAACCCCTGAGGGCAGGCATGCTGGACATTTTGTGGCTCGCTCTCTGCTACTATTCTCAGCATCAGTCAGCCCCTGACTCAGGGTGAACCCATACACAACCGGGGGGGAGGACTGGAAGCCCCCACTGGCAGATGGGTGGTGGCGGAACATGAGGTGCCCTGGCTGGGAATTGAACCCAGGCCTCCTGGTTGGAAGGCGAGGAGTCTACCCCTGACCGAGCCCTGCCCTCCAGCACAGAGAATGATGCTCCCTGAACAATTCAGGCTCGGTGCTTTGCTGAGAGAACGAATCTAACAAGACCTCTGCTGTCACTCAGAGGATGTAAGACAGGTGTCTGTCTGCAGTAGGAAAGAAAGCTGAGCACCTGAAGGTGCAGGGTGGAGGAATGGGCCAGAGACCACCACCCGAGGCTGAGAGGGGGCGTGAAGTACCTCTCCACCCCAGGGGCCGGGGATGTGCAGTACCTCTCCGAGATGCTGCCCAGACCGCCTCTGAGAGAGGTCCGTCTCAGACTCGCTGCAGGAACGCTCGTCTTCCTCCTCGTGCAACACTGAGGAATTCTGGGAAACGGACCTGTAGAAGCCGGGAGGAAGTCAGCCGGGTCCAGCAGCCACCGGGAGACCAGACCTTCACCTGTGCACTCACTCACCGCGCTTCATGGAGGGCGAGGGCCTCCAAGGGAATTGAAAGGGAAACCAAATCTTCAGAAGGACAGAAGTGGGAACAGAGTACGGAAATGGACCAAGGCCTCCTCTGGGTGTCAGAGGCTCTCGGTTCCAGCTTTAGCTCCTTCGGTAACTCACTCAACTTGAGGAAAACCAATGCCATTGTCCTGATCTCAGTATTTTCATCTGTGAGACCCCTTCCTTCCCTCTACCAATGATTAGTGCATAACTGGGCTTCAAAGTCCAAGGTCACACAGTTCCTTCAGTGCTCAGACCAAGCGACATCCCCTGGGGGCCTGAGGACTCCCACGGTGCTTCCCCGTCCACAGCACTTAACCTGCTCTTCCCTTTCACCCCCATTGCAAAAGAAAATAAACAAACAAAAATGAAAGCAAACGGCTTCAGAGATTTGTCTGATGGGAATTCTCCCAAGTACCCATATGCCATCTTGTTTTCTTCTCTCCAGGGACGGGATTCGTTCCCCTCCGAGGCTAACCTCAGGAGAGCCCAGAGGGTGCGCCTGGCCTGGGGACCAGGGTGTGAGCGGCTCTGAGGGAAGGTGGGTTGACAGTGCCTCACAGAGAGGTCCAGGGCCTCGTGGCGGCGGGCTGCCCACTCACTTGGAGAGACTCCTCTTGAGCTTGAGTCCTTGGCTGCTGCGGTCTGACAGGCGGTCGAGGGGGGACAGCGTCCTCACAGGGGGCAGGTGGCCATCGCTGCCGTACGAAGGCAGCATTCCTGAGAGGTGGCCATCTCCAAGCACATGAAGTGGAGGGACCGCTGGGGATGGGGTGAGGGGCCCGTTGAGGGCCTCCAGAAGAGACACCACTTCGTAACCTGGTGGAACATTCTCTGAGGACTAGGAGAACCAGAGACAGGTTGAAAATTAATTAAACACTCCTCTTTTCATAGCATGCTCGTGACTCTTACTCTACAGTGGCAGTGTTTTCCTTTACGCCTGGTCTCATGTTGGCGAGGAAGCTTCTCTAGGGGTAGAAGGAAGGTACAAGGTCCGAGAGCGGTCTCCTCCTGGGGCTGCTCATGGATGAACTGTTTCTTAATGCCCATTCTTTCTGACTGTACTAGAAGCAGAAATATGTTTATCCCACGAGATTTGGAAATACATACAAAGGAAAAATAATCCTCAACAATCAAACCGCTCAGAGGTCAGTTTGTTAATATTCTGGTGTCTTTTCTGGCAATCCTCTCTCCACACTGTTTACATGTTCTGATCCATTTGTAAATGACAATTTTAGCTCTTGCTCAGTTCACTGAACATGACTATTTTTGTTTCTGAAACCTTTCCATAGACAACCTAAGTTTCCTAACTGTTCTGTTGTTGTGTGCTGTTGAGTCGATTCCCATTCCTAGCAACCACATGTGACAGCGTAACTGCTCCACAGGGTTTCCCGGACTGTCATCTTTACAGGGGCTGATGGCCAGAGCTTTTCTCCTGTGGAGTGGCTGGTGGGTTCAAGTCACCGACCTTCTGATTAGAAGATGAGCACTTAACCACTGTGCCACCATGGCTCCTACTGTTCTACTCATTCTGTGTGTTTACTTTGGTCTGATTTTCCCTACTGTAAGCGATGCTTTGATGAACATCCTTGTGCTTAAATCCCCCCACCCAAATTATTTTCTTGGTATTAAATTCTTAGACCTTAGCTTACTAACTGTTGTGTTGTTATGTGCTGTCGAATCGTCTCTGACTCATAGCGACCCCTATTTGGGTTTCCAAGACGGTATCTCTATGGAAGTAGATTGCCCAATCTTCCTTCTGAGGAGTGGCTGGTGGGTTTGAACCGCCAGCCTTCTGGTTAGCAGTCAAATGCCTAAGGCACTACACCACCAGAGCTCCCAGGTTACTGGCTACGGATTTTTTTAAAAAATATTTTATTGAGGTTTTGGTGAAAGTTTACACAACAGATTACCTTCCCATCCACTAATTTCTGTAGATACTGTTCAGTGATGCTGGTTACATTTTCGCACGTTGCCAATGTTCTGATGGCTCTGCTTCATTCACCAGCTGCCTTGCCCTCATTGTCTATGCTTTAGGGGAAGCATTGACCATTTGGTTGCATAGAGGATTTTCTGTTTTTTAAAAGGAGCTCAGTTCTCACAGGTGTTGTTTATTTTATGAGCCAATCTGTTATCTGGCTGAAATGTGACTTCTAGGAGCAGGTTCAGTTCAAAGTTTAAAAAGCATCTCAGGGACAGTCTCAGGGTTCTTCTCATTTCGATGGATGTTTTCAAGGCTCTTGACATAAGCAGGTGGTTTCTGTGTTGATCCTACCCCCAACCCCCGACCCATCCTAAAATCCATCTGTCTGGTCACACTCGCGTCAGCACTGCCTACAGCTTCTCCAACAGCATGGAGGGGCTTTAACAGTTTTTCTAATTGGAAAGATGAACAATTTTCTCTCCTTTCCCTTTGTGTCATTTTTAGTTTTAGTGGGTGCAGTGCAGTGAATTGCTGCCTGTGGCCTTCTGGCCGTCGCCCTCCCTTTTGTGAGGTCCTGGGAATCCTTGTCTCTGTTCTGCGTGGGAAGCATCTTGAGTCCCACTCTGCTGGAGGCTGTGACCCGAGTCACCACCCCCAGCTTCCGTGAGGGTGTATGTGTGAGCGGTCTGGGAAGGTGCACTCTCCTGCTCCAGTCTGCATTTGGTTCGTCATGGTCTCACCCCTGGACTTGAGACAGCAACCGTCATCTGACCTGCCGATTTGGGTTCGCCAACCCCTGCAACCACGTGAGTTGGGAGACTCCTCCAGACCTACCCACAGAACTGGGACTTGCCAGCCTGCCAGCCTCCACCACCATGTGAACCATTTCTGTGAGATGTTACAGTGAACTACAGAACCCTAAGACAGGAGGGAGAGTGCTGGGGGAGGAGGAGGAGGAGTGGACATCGGGGATGATGGAGTGGCACGGCAGTTTGGAAAGGCTGGGCGTTTGGGACATCTTTTACCTTCACCTCCTAAGGACCAGCCGTGTGCTGATCTTTCTAAAAGAAATGATTCAAGCGGTGTGGCTGCACTTTCTTTTCACACTTGTTGACCAGCTATGCTGCTTTTAGGAATTTGTCCATTTATCTGTTTTATTCATGTTTTTAATCCGCAAGGGCTGTTGAAGATTAACAATTAGCCTTTCCTTTCACCGATACAAGCGAATGCCTTTTAGAAACCCTTGATTGTTTGCTTTCTCACTCTGGTTGCTGGTCAGACTTCTGAAGCTCAACACTTTCCGTACAGTAAGACGGACACTCTGTTCTCTTCGCTTGTAGCTTTCCTTTGCTTTTAAGTTAGAGAGTCTCCTCCATCCACAGTCACTAAATCATCAGCTATACTTTATTCTAAGTTTTTAACATTTTGTTTAGTCTGCTTCATTTTTAGTATAATTAACTAGTTACTCCTCCTGGCATTTATTTTATTAAACAATTTTTTTTGAAAACTCTGTTGTGATTTGGGTGCAAGTTTGTAGAGCAAATTGGTTTTCCATTTAACATTTACACATATTTTCTTGTGTGACCCTGACTGCAGTCTCTAAATGTAACAGCACTCTTCCTACTCCCTCCCTGTGTTTACTGTTTCCCTTCATGCGATCCTATCCTGTCCTGTCTCTGACCTTTATCCCTGGGCAAATGCTGCCCTTTGATCTCCTACGGTGGTCGGTTGCTGTTCTCTGGAATTTATTATCTGGTAAGGGGTGAAGTGCTAAATGGATTCTTCTTCCCTAAAAGAACTCTGATGGCACAGTGCCTAAGGCAGTTTGACTGCTAACCAGAAGGTTGGTGGTTCAAACTCATCAGTTACTCCACGGAAGGAAGATGGGGCAATCGATTTCTGTAAAGATTTACCACCTTGGAGACCCATGGGGGTCGCTATGAGTTGGAGTCAACTCGATAGCAATGGGTTTGGTTTTTAGGTTTTGAATGCTAATTATCCCACTCCCTTTACTGCATCATACCCCTCCATCAGTGGGTTCATGTGCAGAAACACAGTGTCTGTTGTGTAACTGCTAAGCTCTGAGGCTAGACCCCAACCCTATCACTCACCCTGTGAACCTGAGGTCAGCTATTTCATCAACTCCGGAAATGGGAGGAAAAAAAACCAGGTATCTTCTTCAGAGATTCGAAGAGTAAATTGTATTAGAGTCCCAACAACCACTTGCTTGTTTCTGCCTGTGGGAATCCCAGAGCCAGACCCCTGGAGTGCACCCTGTTAGCAGAAGGCTCCAGAAACAGCCAACACTAACTGGACACCAAGGGCCCACGCAGGAGAAGGGAGGTTAGTGACCAGTGTCCCATTTTCCACTGTCATGTTGCTTGCTTCTGACACATGGTCTCAGTCACTGACGTCGCTCTACCCAGGCCTTATTACCCGCTGCAATGTCAGGCAGAAAGGGACGGAAAGGGGACAAAAGGCGGCACGTTTGTTACCCAAGGGGTCATGGTTCCGAGCCCAACTTACTGAATGTTCTTCGGAGTCAGATGTCTGGGACGAGATGATGGGGTTAAAGCTGGTTGGGGACAAGGGGCCCAGTTTTTTCCTCATGGCTCGGATCTGGAGCAGTGCCCGGAAAGCTGTGGGAAGAGAGCAGGCATCAGGACGTCCTGATGCAGGAGAGGGGGCAACGTGAACCCAGACAGAACGCAGGGGCTTCGTCCTCCCAGCTGTGCTCCAGGTTTCCTGAAGCCAGCAGTGGCCTATGTCTCAGTGCTTGCAGACTGTGCTTCTCACTCCCACCTGTCCAGCTGGGACTCACGGAGTCGGCAGATGGGGCAGTTGTTGGCTTGGTAGCGCAGGGTGTCCGCACAGGTGTTACAGAGGCAGAGGTGGCGGCAGGGCAGGATCAAGGTGTCCCGGACGTCCGAGAGACACACCACACACTCAGCACTGTTATCACTCACTTCATCCTCAGCCACCTGCCAGGGAACGGGAAGTTTGTCAGTGGCACAAAGACCTTCAGGCCGCACAATTTACTGACATGGCAGCGCGGCTGGAGAGCGGAGAGGAGGAGCAAGCACAAAGCTGACAGACACTGACCGTTCGAGTTTACCAAGTGCTTCGCGCACTGAACTTCACTTTCGCTGGGGAACATCCGCCCAGGGCTGGGGGGTGCGGGACTAATGGTGCAGCTTATCCTCTGGGGCTTAGTTCTGGTCAGCTCAGTGACCGCACAGGGAAGGGGAAAAGGGAAAGGGAGTTCTATTTAAGCAACCCAACCAACTCCTGGACTGTTGCTGCCACAGTGACAGACACATAACCATCTGAAAATAAGCAACAAGAAAACGCCCTTCTGGGAGCTGATTTGAGTTTGCACATGGAATTCCTAGATCCTGGCTCAGAGCATCATGTGAGGAGGAAGTCTCTGGGTGGCGCAGTTAAAAGGTCTGGCTGCTAACCACAAGATTGGGAGTTCAAGTCCACCCAGAGGCACCTCATGAGACAGGCCTGATGATCTACCTCAGAAAAGTCAGCCACTGAGACCATGCAGAGCACAGCTCTACCGTGACACGCATGGGGTCAGCCACGGAGACCGCACGGATCACAGCTCTACTGTGACACGCACAGGGTCAGCCACGGGGACCACACGGAGCACACAGTTCTACCGTGACATGCACGGGATCAGCCACGGAGACTGCACGGAGCACACAGTTCTACCGTGACACGCACGGGGTCAGCCACGGAGACCGCACGGATCACAGCTCTACCATGACATGCACGGGGTCAGCCACAGAGACCGCACGGAGCACAACTCTACTGTGACATGCACGGGGTCAGCCACGGAGACTGCACGGATCACAGCTCTACCGTGACACGCATGGGGTCAGCCACGGGGACCACACAGTTCTACCGTGACACGCACGGGGTCAGCCACGGAGACCGCATGGAGCACATAGTTCTACCGTGACATGCACGGGGTCAGCCACGGAGACTGCATGGAGCACAGCTGTACCGTGACACGTACGGGGTCAGCCACGGAGACCGCACGGAGCACACAGTTCTACCGTGACATGCACGGGGTCAGCCA